AAAATTTCTCCAAATTGGTAATTTAGAAGTAGTATCTCAATATTGAGAAGCCGCCGGCGACCAGTTAGCCCGATTAATCCAAAACATTTTTAAAGAATTACATGTTGGTGAAAATCAGCCCGAGCAAGAGATAGTTGAAAAAAGTTTTAATTATTTTCATCCTAGTTGTGAAATTGTTGCTGGAAATTTAGAGGAAGAATTTGTAAAAAGAACCAAAGGATACCAATTCACCAAAAGTTTGTATAATTATGACACCTTTGATAGTGGCATTGAATTTCAATTTGCGAAGTTAATTGACAAAACCCAAGAAGTTAAAAAATGAATTCGTCTTTTACAATGAGGAGATGAAATTTATATTCTTTTTGGCCCAAGCCAACGACATTATTTTCCAGACTTTTTAGTGATAGATGAAAATGATATTCATTGATTAGTGGAAATTAAGGATGACAATAACCCTGACCCGAGAATAGAGGAAAAAAATCAAGCGGCAAAAGAATGAGTAAATGCTTTAAATTTAAGTTTAGGAGAAGAAGCACGAAAAGTTGAAAAATGAAAATTTTTATATATCACTAAAGGAAATATAGCAAAATCTCATGAAAAATGAGATATGTTGAAACAAATATGCCGAATCTAAGTGTAGAAAAATAGATGGCAATATTTTAAGAATGAAATAATCAAAGATTATTCATTTCAATAGACAGGAGAATAAGAAAAATAATTTTATTAGGCAAAAGAGATTAGAATGACCCAGCAGTAACTTTCATTTCCGATAATTGACAAAAAAGAAAAAACACAATTTTCTCCTAAAATTAAGAATTAATAATGTTCAAAAAATCAAAAAATCAGTCCGAAAAATATTATACTAGCATTGTTTCGGACGAAAGCACCAAAAAAAAAGCATTAAAATATTTTGTCAAAGATAATTTTTGAACCCAGGAATTAACTACTACCGCTTCATCAAAATTTTTGGCTGATTTTCAGCCTAGTCAGAATGCTTTTGTAATTGAATTACTGACAAAAGAGGAAAAAAAACTGGTAGGCAAAGCAATTTTGGACGAGTTTGCCTGTGGAGGCACGGGACTTCATGCTGCCACCGGACCAATTTTTAACCCCCGCAATCTTTCTTATATAGTGGGCGGTTCCTCGTCGGGTTCGGCCTGGGTAGTCGCCGAAAACCTGGCTCCTTGATCCTTGGGGCATGATACAGGAGACTCCATTCGTCGCCCTGCTGCCTATTGTGGAATAGTTGGCTTTAAGCCCTCTTATGGCCTTATTTCTCGTAGTGGAATTATCCCCATGGCCTCCTCTTTGGATACAGTAGGGATTTTGGCCCGCAAAGTCCAAGACATAAAGCCGGTTTTTTCCATTATTTCCCAACCCGATCTGCACGACCTCTTAACAGTGGCAAAACGAAAAAAAATCCTCTCTCGTCCCAGAAATAAAATTGCGGTGGTGGCCGGAATAGAAAAATACTTATCAAGTGAACTAAACAATCTTTATCATAATACTATCAAAAAACTGGAAAAGGCAGGATACCCAATTGAAAAAATAACGATACCGAAAAACATACGAGAACATTTACAAATTACTTATCTAATTCTCTGTTCTAGTGAATTAATTAGTCATCTCAATTCTCTCCAAGGAATAACTTACGGTCCTCATGAAAAGATTGCCATTACTCACAAGCGAAGTAAATACTTGGGAGAAATGGTGAAACAACGGCTATTAATCGGGTCTTATTTTTTAGAAAACCAAGAATTATTTGTCAAAGCCCAAAAAATGCGTTATTTAGTAGATAAGTGGGTGAAAAAAATCTTGCAAAATTATGATTTTCTAGTTTTTCCCAGCACTAATAGCACTGCTCCGCCGGTGGCTAATTTTAA